GGTAGAGTAGCATCTCGCAACTTATAATATACCTAGAAATAAGTTTTCCCAACAGAGCCATTACTTTATCCGTGTAATTCATTGGTCTATTAGCATAGGAAGTTGTGAGCAAAGGTCGTTGCCACCGTTTGCCTTATAGTCATCGATTGTCGTTTCATCCTAAATTGTATCCTAAATGGGCCATTGCTTAATAGTTATCACACTACCACCATCTGTTTCGGTCAATTACTTCGCTATATAAAGCTGTCTACAGACATAACTGCAAGCTTGCCCATCATACTTATTCAATATTTTTGTACAAGTATGCATAATTTGTGTTTGGCACCACACGCATGCGTGATAAAAATAGAGGTAGTTTAATAAAATATATCGATCTCGGACGGCGATGCGCTCGTTTTTGTTGCTTTTGTTCTTGTGAAGAAAAGAACATCCCGAATAAAAAAACGTGCAGTGTGGTGTAAAGATTGATTGATGTAAAGACAACCTATTCACACTAAGTGAGCTGAAAATATATCCGCGTGACTGGCACAATTATCTTAGAATGGATGAAGAGACGTATTTAAACCTTTTGTCTCTTATATCACCTTTGATTCAAAACCAGGATACGATCATAACCGGACGCCAACTTGTGCAAGCTTGAAAATCTTGGGTACACACATACCGTTTTGCTTGCGCAAGCGCGTCTGATTCAAGCATGCATAACTAAAATCAATTCAAACCTCAAGCTGCTTGTACAATTACAAAGCTTGCACTACATTTCTCTACGTGCTTGTAAAAAAGAATGAACAAGCATGCTAGACAAGCTTACAGTTGTGCCTCTAGCCACCTTAAGCGCGACGTAGTTCTAGCGTATCCTCAACACGAAAAATATAAACGTGTGTTCTACAATGCGCTCTTATCAAGAGATACAGGGTGTTGAAGTTGAAAAACTATAATTAAGAAAACAATTAGGGGGGTGTTCTCTAATGTCGAATGGCCAATGTAGATATATAAAATGTCACACGAAACTCATAAAGCGATTTGAATCTCGCCAAAATCTCACTAAAGAAAAGTGACAGCACGGTGACAATAATCACAAAAATATAAATTGTCGTGTGCAGGCGAGAATATGTCGCATGCAAGGTTCTAAGTGCACTAGTGGTGCGAAACTAAGATATTTTAACTCCCACTACTGGAAAAAATATTTTCTCTGTCGGTGACTTCTCTGAAACCTCTAATGCATGAGATAAAATACTTGATTTTAAATAAATTGGCACTCTTAAGCAAAATTGGTTTGAATCTCTGTGGTATATTCGTCAAAACGGAAGAAAGCAGTTTGCACATTGAATAGCTAAATTCGCTACGTGTAGATGCCGTATTCAAAGACAAGGTCTCGTCAGTGGGACATGGGGAATTTTATGTTCGCTTAAGAACGATTCATATTATTTTTGGATGTACTTTACATCCATACTAATATTATAAATGAGAAAGTGTGCATGTATGTTTCTGTGTATGTATACTTGCATGTACGTTCCCTTTTCACCTTAAAATGGCTAAACCCCTTTTGATGAATTTCAGCATAGATATAGGTTAGACTTTGCAGACGGACATAGGCTACCTTTTGTTGGGAAAATTCAACTTGAAGGGATTGAAATAAGAAGTAGAAGCTACTATGGGAAAACTATTATGTTATACACTGGACCGTTCAAGGATTTTTCGGCATAGTTGCCAAGAACTAATACTAAGTAACATTGTGTGAAGACTCCAGCGAAATCCGAGCAAGTTATATATAGGCCAAAGATGAGCGGACAGACAGAAAAACATCTCATTTCCGAAAGTTGTCGTAATTACAATATTTCATCTGCCAGTACTAAAAACTGCTAAAACTTATGTGAATATTTAGCAATGGTTTACCATGTCAGATTCTATACCTAAAAGTTTGATTTTTAACAATTGACATGTTGAGTCCGAAAAAAGAATTTTTCAGATTTAAGAAGAAACATATTCGTAAAACTCAATTTCACAAAACTGGAAGTTTTGTGAAATTGAGTTGCCTCCTGCAACCCGTGTTCAATTAAATAGCAAATATTTACGGTCGATATTCAACAGTCAGCTTAAGTACTGAATTCACTAAACATTTTGTCTTTATTAATGTCTTCCTAATCATTTAATAGTGTCGTCTGTTTGAGCATTCTGGCTATTCAAATAAGGAAACGCATACACGTTTTCCATAAATTTGCAAATTATCTTGAAACGTATTTAACTGACTTGGTGAGTTGGCTGCCGAAAATAAAAAGCCGATCAAAATATATATCTTTCACTTGTAAAACCAACAAAATCAAATGGTACGGAGTTTCAAATAACATGCAAGGGTTATCGTGATATGACAATATTCGAATTTTGAATATTTTATTGAATTTACCCTAAACAGTTTAGTATAGGCTCGAAAGTGGTTCTGTTGGAACATATACAGTCTGTCTGGAAGGTCGATACATAAATTAGTACTTAAACATAACAAAATAAACTATTGAAACATGCTTTATTGGTGTTCAAAGTGAGAACCATTGTTTCTAATACATGCTCAAGTTCTACGTGTTACTTCGGTAGTTGTTGTATATAATAACCTGTCTTGCTGGAATAAATAAAAAGCTTCTCGAATTCTTCTTATTAAATGGTATCTTGATACGATTTATTCAGTATAAACTAAATGTTTAGCCTGCTCCCAGACATAGAAAACAAGGAATCTAGCAGGCCACGGAATTGGTCCACCTCTCCCTAACCAGCTATTTGGAAAAGTATCATCCAAATATTGTCTTACGTCTAAACGGAAATGAGCTGGACATCCTTCGTGTTGGAAAGCAATTTGCATGTTATCTGGAATTTCTACTCCTACAAGTACTTCGGCAAGATCATTTTGCAAAAAGTATAGATAACTATCACAGTTTAATCTTACAGGCAAAAAATGAGGACCGATTAATCTTTGTCTCAAGACGGCGGCCCATACATTAACGGAATATTTGTGCTGGAAAGACACCCGTTTTGTCCAGCTTGGATTTTCCTGCTTATCAGTCCATTGATGCCAATTGTGAAAATTTATAATGCCCTCCGTCGAAAAATTGGATTCGTCCGTCCATAGAACGCTTTCCAGGAACCGTTCATTCTTAATGTCACTATGTAAGAGAAAACGACAAAATTTGGCTTTTGCGAATCGGATCACCAGCTTCAAGTCCTTGTATGTCGTGTATATCTCGAAATAACTCGAAAACAGTAAGACTTTGAACTAAGGTATTTTTGACTTACAAAATTCTAAGTGGTCTGCCTATCAACTCCCCAAGACTTTGTATAGACCTTCCAAACACCCTGTATAACTCATATCGTATATCATATAGCCCTTTAAATCCAGCCTTGTTCGCTTTCCGAAATTCTAGACGTTTTGACTCCGGCCCCACAGTGCGCCGTCCTTGTCTTGTGTCCAATATTGGGAGTGATCATCCAATGTAAAGCAGTACGTGGTGCAGCACATTCATGCAGAATAGCACACTCTTAACGAAAGTACTGGCATCTTGCTTTTGCGTGTCTCAAAAGCATTTGACAAGGTGTGGCACGCATACCTCCTGTATAAAGGGCTTCCCCTTTTGGCTTCTAAAACTACTGAAATCCTTCCTTGAAGGTAGGAAATTTCGGATCAAAATTGACAATGTCAGGTCAACAACACGGCTGATTACAGCCGGCATCCCTCAGGGTTCGGTCCTTGGACCTATCCTTTACTCACTGTACATCCATGACGTCCCTAGTCTCAGCAACTGTGAAGTCTATCTCTATGCTGACGATACTTCATTGGTGGCTCAGTCGTGGTCTGGTCACCTAGTCCATGACAGGCTGCAAAGTGCGGTGGAGGAAGTATTGGATTGGGCGGATCGGTCGCTAATTAAAATCAACCATTCGAAAACGCAGGCAATCTACTGTACAAAAAGACGTCGCGGCGTTCTGACTGAAGTTTCAATGGACTTCGTATACCATGGGAATCCTCCAATAAGTATATCGGTGTAATTCTGGACAAAGGGACGACTTGGCGGAACCATATAGAAGCTCTAAAAACTAAATTAGAAATTACGTTTCGACAGCTCTAGCCATTATTATGTAAACGTTCAAGATAAGGTGGTCATAAGACCAGCAATGACTTACGCATGTGCGGCTTGATGTTTTATTGCTAAAACACAGATGCGAAATCTGCAGGTTCTGCAAAGCAGGACGTTGCGCACTATTGCTGACGCCTCATGGTATGTTTCTAACGAAACCTCTATGTCCCTTACCTAAAGGACTACATTAAGCATTAGGCGCAGCGGCACTATAGCCTAGCGGAATCGCACAGCAGCCATCTGTTGCGTGAGTCAGTGGACTACACAGTCGAGCAAGTTCGCAAGCACAAAAGGCCGCGGCTTGCACTGTAATCAAAATTAATTCGTGAACTTAGAACATCCAAAATTGGAGTATTTTGACAAAATCTTCAGAAAAAATTGAATATTTTTAGACCATATCAAAATCTGTGAAGTGATTTTAACAATGCCTAATCGCTGCCTATCCTAAAAGTCTCTCCTCTTCCCCTTTGCTCTCGTTCTTCCTTCTCTCCCTTCCTTCCCTTTTTTCCTTAAAATTGTCTGGTTTCTGGGTTACCAGACCTGACAGACTTACAAACTGACACTGTGACTCAAGAGCTAAGGTCCCACGGACCGCTGTGACAATCAACGATGACTTGACTGCCACATAGCATTAGCCGTGAAATAGATTTGACAGTTCGCAACATTAATCAAAACAGGTACTATCAAATCTGACAGCCAAGTGAAAACTGCTATTCGGCATAAAAGCGCTACATCGCTGGATCGCTCCTCAATGTAAAGCTCTTGAGACAAAGTACGAGAAAATCACCAGGGAAGTTGAGAGGTTTCAGCGGAACTTTCGCTAATCGCATATTCAATTCGTATTCTAGTGACGGATGGTATTTTAAGTAGCATAATACTTACGCAAATTTTTCTGGAAGAACTTCCAATATAAGGGAAAGTCTCCCACGTAGCCTTGAGTCCTGATGAGTCTGTTGAGATGGTAAAAAGAGACCGCCACATCCTTTGGGTTTCTAGCTATGTAAACAACCTGGGAAAAGAAAAACTGCTTAGTGAAGAGTCAATAATCATCCAGCATAAGCAATGCACAAATAATAAATAGACATCTAGATTGACTTCTCACGCAGGAGATGAGTTCAAAAATAACAGAGCTGATTGGATCTCAAAAATAATAAAAATGTAATTTTCAGAGTATGTGTCAGAAGTACCACGTGTGTTAAAGGTGGCGCCAAGTAGGTTGACTCGGTACGTAACGCGCATGCATATATGATAGTTTCAAAATTCCTTTACAGGGTGATTCACAAGTTGTGACCAAAAATGAAACATCATACACAGGACCACAGCTTAAGGAGGTCTTCTATGTAATATTTTTTTCTCTAGGGCTTCATCAATAAGTTTGAAAATAAAAACATTCTTCTAAACCGTCAACTGGAATGAACTAAGATTTGGTATGTGGATTACCATAAGTATTGTCCACATTCAAAAGTCTTTACTTGAAATTAAAATGCATCAGTGGTGTGATACAGGGGATTAGTCACATTGTTTTTCCAAATAAAAGTAGTATAACTTTACCTTCAATTTGCTATGAATAACTCTTAAGTTTTTTCCTAGAGTTCACTGTTTTTGTAAAACTAAAAATAAAACAAATTAGATCATTATATGTATCAAAATAAAATAGAAGGCCTTGATACCAACTTGACGTTTCTTAGGAGATGTGTTATACGGTTGTTATTGTTACTACTACTATTTTTTTTTTGTAAAAGTCAAGTCAAAGATTCTTTTTTACATCGGGAGGTCTCACATCCTTACCATTGGCAAAATGTGCAATGTTTGCAACCCGGCGTCGAAGTGCAACGACGAAATTTTTGTGAGTGGTTACTGCAAATGCATAATGAAAATGAAGATTTTAGTGATTTGGTTTTGTTGCCAGATGAATATCTTTTTACGAGGAGTGGACCCTTTAATTCTCATAATGAACATATTTGGTCGTTAGAAAATCCCCGTTCTGTAAGAATCCACCCGTTTCAACAAAGATTTTCTACAAATGTCTGGTGCGGCATTTTTAATGGCCAACTGTTTATGCACGTATCACCACAATGTTTAAATGCAAACTCAGACTTAGCTTTTCTAGAAAATTACATAGAAAATGTGTTAGATGATGTTCCGTTAGCAACGAGGCTAGGAATGTGGTATCAGCACGACGGTGGCCCACCGCATGTTCCTAATGACAACCGCTTGGTTAAATGATCATTTTAGACAACGATGGATTGGCAGAAACGGACCCGTACATTGGCCTGCTAGGTCTCTTGATTTGAACCCCCTGGATTTATTTTGTGGGGCGCTTTTAAACAACTAGTGTATGCTGAACAAATTAATACTGTTGATTAGTTACAAGAAAGAATATATAATGCGTTTGATCAAATTCAAGCCACAAATAATTTCGCTGAAATACGCTTTTCTTTATTAAAAAGATGTCGCCCTTGTATCCGTCAGAATGGTAGTCTTTTTAAACATTCATTGAAATAAAGATTTGATTATCCAACTTGTATTTTTTTTAATTTTTACGAAAACAATGCACTTTAGGAAAAAACACAAGAGTTATTATTTGTACCAAACTGAAGGTAACATTCTGAAAATTCCGGATGTCGAAAAAAAAACAGTTACAATTTTTATTTGGAAAAATAATGTCATTAATCCCCTGTATCTCCGCCACTGGTGCACGTTGATTTTAAGTAAAGGCTTTTGAATGTTGAAAATACTTAGGTAAATCCACATACCAAATTTTCGTCCATTCCTGTTGACGGTTTTGAAGATATTGAAAAAAAATGTTTTTGTTTTTTAACTAGAACACTCCAAATCTTTTTAATGAAGCTCTCGAGAAAAACAATCTTACATACCAGGCGGTCCTGTGAATGATGTTTTTGGTCACGAATTGTGAATCATCCTGTATATATTTATTAACAACTGTGGATACACAGATTTCAAAGATTGGATAGGATCAAATTGATTTTGATGAACGGCCCCCCACCATAGCTTCCACGAAATTTCTATGAAATCAGTGCAACCGTTTTCAAAATTTCATATTTGAATAAACATCAACTTATTAACAGAGCGACAAACGGAGATGATATAGATATTCGTAGCCTAAATATAAAATTTATCTGGGAATCTCCACGATCATAAAACTTCCTTTGCTTATGCTTTGAAAGTAGCATTACTGTCCAAAGATTCTACAACATAGTCAAAGTGATACCACTGAACACAGAATTGATCCACCTTAACGATCGACATCAGCTATTGACATACAGTAAAAATCAAGCCCTTGGAGCGCAGTTGTAACAAGTGTTGATACTAAAAATGAGCCACCAAAGGAAATAGAGCTTCGAATGTCACTTCGCAACCAAAATGTTGAATTGTGAAACAGAACGGTTCAGTACTAGGTATTTTTCAACTACTTATTTGAAATAGATGAAGCTTAGACTTCACTGAATTACTTTATCCTTACGAATTGAAGCGACTCCCTCACAAAATAAAACGGTAGGTACCGATACTTTTTTTCACAAACAAGAGCGATATTCCTATGCGTTTCACTGCTTCAAGCACCTAGAATACCCTACATATTTCTTTTACCAAGCCACTGACGATTAAGTAGTGTAATCGCGAAAAATCTCGAAAATGAGATATTACGTTTTTCTGGATGTTATTTATGACATCTACATTACAAAAACCCATATCACTCATTTCCGTCTGTCTGTTGGTTTCTCGTTGCTGTGCTGTGAATCTGTCGGTCTGTGGATCTGCCTGTCTCTCGGTCTGCCCTCAAATACTTGCCCTCCTATAACTTTGAAACCACTGCTCGAATTTGGATGAAAGGGTTACACTATTAAGCCAATGACAAAGAAGATTATTTTAGTTTTTGGAAATCTGTCCAGTAGCGGCGATGAAAATACTTAAACTTCATTTTTGAAATGAATCTTTGGGGTAAAAGATCGCAGTTTTTTGGCGGCAGTGTATTTATAAACTTCTAACACCAGACTTGAGATAATAAAAAAAGTAGCCGCTGCTCGCTCTCGAGAGAAAATCGACTCAACGAATTTTTACCTGACCAGCTGAAGAGGTAAACGATGTGCAGTTGCGTCTAACAAGGCAATATACTTTATTGAAAATACATGATCAGATAGAGCTATAACATTAGGGCTGTAGTTATTCAGGTGTGAAACCACGAATACACGTTCACTGCAAAAATAAAGATATTTCGTGGAATCGAAAAAAATCATCTATTTTAGTACCTTTTTCTCAAGTAGGGCGTACAAAACTATTTTTCTTGGATAATAATAATAGTAACAATAATGAATTTTATAAAAAAACAGATTTTCACGAGCAAAAGAAAAATATACATCACACAGAAAATAAAATAGGTGATAACAAGTTATAAAATAGGTGGCAAAAAAGGTATGCTTGTTTAGTAGTATAAACAGTTAAATAGAAGAATATAAAAAGTAAGCAGCATAAATGTATAATAAGGAAAATAAGCAATATGTAAAATAAATATGTAATTATTAATAATTATAAAACTCTTACAGAGAGTAAAAGCACTAGGGTATAAGAATGTTAAAACTTGTATTTTGAATTCTTTTAAGTCATTGAAGTTTTCTAACTCGGAGGGCAAATGATTAAGGATAGATACACGTAGGTAGTCAGGGCTAGTACCGCGGCTTTAGTTGTTCAATGTAATGTTATTAATTCTTAGATTATATCTCTGGAAGTCTTTTAGGTAAGTGAATTTCGCATGAATGCCCGCCTCTGGAATGAGTAATGATGCTGACTCTAGTATTTTTTCATCTCTAAATGTTTTTTTAACTGGACTCTGGAGAATGCAATGACAATAAGTGTCTGAAGGATAAAGATTCGTTGAACCTCAACAAAGGACCTCCAATATAGCATTAAGTATTTGAGGTGGGAAGATTCAATAGAGTAGTAAACGTTTGATACGTGTTTCTTATTTATTACGTATTTTAAGCTCGAATTTTTTTTTGTTACATACGCTATGTGGTCTTTCTCGCTGAAATATTCATCAATTATACTTGTAAGACCTAATCATTTTTTGTTTGGAACTCTTTCCTGTGTCTTATTGTTTATTGTAACTGTGATGTTATTCTGCACCTTCGTTTGTGATACACGATGAATTTGCTTTTATCTGTATTAATTAGTAAAAGTCTTGGATGAACAAATTCGATCCATTTATGTATTTCGATCTATACTAAGTGACATATAAATCCGAACACCCAGTTTAAATGGTTTTATTTTAATAAAATTTTGTATAAGTACTTAATGAAGCATAATAAGTAAATGATAAACATTTCACTGCTTTAAAGCCCTTTGACCTTTAATAATGTGTGGATGCACCTTGATGTGCTACGCATTCTCCAACGCGCCTAGGCATGCTTCTGATCAGGTGGTCAATGTCCTCCTGTGGTATCTCATTCCAGGCAACCACCAACTCCTCTCGAAGTGCTTCTCATCATATCCCACACGTGCTCAATTGGGGATAAGTCGGGAGATCTTGGTGGCCATGGTAACAATGTGACATCATTATGTTGAAAGAAGTCTATGTGACTCTTGCAACATGTGGTCGGGCATTATCTTGTTGGAAAGTTGGATCTGCCAGGGTGTAAACACTTCGCATGCCAATAGGTCTTCCGTGTTCTGCAAACCATTCATTTGCAATGGACCTGGTAGTGGAGAAACGGTCCCTTAAGGCCAATAATCTTAGGCCGCGATCTTCACGGTCTGTTGTTCTAGGGCGGCGTCCAGTGCCCCTTGCTCTTTGCGTACGGCCTTCTCGAAGCCATGCCTGACAACACCTAACCACAGTGTCTACACTTCTTTGCACTCTAACTGCAATTGCCCGAAAAGAAAGTCCAGCTTCCCGAAGTCCCACTATACGGCCCCTATCAAACTCACTAAGTTGACGAAATCGTACAGGTCTCCGTACTCTAGGCATCGTAACCGATCGTAAAGGATGTCAAG